AGATAGTAAAAACTATCTACCCTGTAGTCTACAAGAAAAATAACATAACCCCATAATGAAATGGAATATATTTTTTTCTAACCAGTAGTAAAGTTCAAAAATCATACATGAAATTTTTGTTAAATTCAAGTATATACGAATAAGCTCCCTCTGGAGAAAGTCACCACAAGCAAGTGCTAAGTACAACAGTGATACATGATTTTTTTTAATTTTTGCAACTTTTAATCAGTAAGCAAAAACTTACCCCCCTAATATAAAAGAAAGACTCTTTAAGGTGAAAAGAAAAAGACTAATAGTACAGAATCACATGAGAAAAACAATTAAGAAATGAGACGCTGGTTTCCTTCAACAATTTGCAAATAAATAAATCTGAAAGCCTGATAACACCAAGTAGAAAACAATTATTTTCACATATTCCTGGTGGAAATACAAATTACATCAACTAAGGCTGTGGAGTTGGCTCCATGGTTAAGATGCTTGCTGTACGTGCCTGAGGACCAGAACTCAGATCCCCTTAACCCAAGTAAATGCCAGATTCCAGAAGCTCAAACAGGATCTCCTGAACATCTGAAGGCTGCCTCAATGAATACGACCAAAAGCAGGACGAGTCTTATTTCAGACTCTAGTCTCCACCCACACACACGCAAACACAAATGCATTCATGTGCCTAGTGCACACACCAAAATGAAAACAAAAAGACTATAGAATCCTTCATGTAGATAATTTTGGTGTGATTATTCCTTCAGCTGGGAGCTCTTGACTCTGTGGGTGGTCTTGTAAAATGACCATGGAAAAATTATTAACTACTGAGATGATTACCGGTCTCCAACCATGGAGATGAGTTAGATCTTTCATGTAATGGAATATTAGTCGGCTGTGGCAACGAGAGAGAAAATGGGAGGATATAGTGGTACAGAATCATCTATAAGATGCAGTAAACACGTTTCGAATGAAATCAAAAGTAACACTGTTACCTAACTTTACTCCTGATTATACATATATTTCCTTTGAGTTTCTCAAACTGCAAGTCGCAATAACAATTTTAAATTAAATTTGGTTTAAATTCATTATTGAAAGACAAAGTTGCAAAATTTATAAACATGAATTTGACTCTTAGTCAATTTAGGTTTTCTTCCAAAACCTATCTCTGTTACGTTTTAGCTTCAAATATAATTATTTTGTTTTGGTTAGAAACTTTTTGAATTATTGGTTAGGGGGCTCCAGAAGCCCCTCAAAAACATAGACTATTGCTATTGTTCTTGGTTGCCAATCAGAACTAGATGGTCAGACCCTATTGCTAAAAAATACCATGTACTTTTGTTGCAGGACATACAGAGATCATGCTAGAACTGACCTGAAAATTCCTCTCTGCTGATTTGCTTTCATAGTGTAGGAAGGTATGTATAGTATACTGGAGAAGAAAACTCACCAATGGTATTACTCAGTAGTGAACTGTGTATGCTACAAAAACAACCTGCCAAGCAAGATGTGGCCACTAGTTCTATGGTGGCACAACAGTTATGGGTACAACCAACTGCATTTGGATTAGATTTAAGGTCTACTTCATAGGAGAGAATTCATGCCTGGCCCTTAAACTTGGTCAAAGGCCCAAGGTTAGGGATGTTATACATAGAGGGGATCCTACTACTGTCATTTCACTAAATGGAAATGTCTTCAATTTACTTTATAAATACATATGTTTATATTGTAGATTAGTGCTACTCAATCTTATCCAATGAAGAATCTCCCTGCAGCAGGTAGGAGTTAATATAGAGATTCATAGCTGACCAGAGCGATGAGAATAAGTGACCATTGAGTACTCATCCCTAAATGCAACACCTATGCCAATACACATGGAGGATGGGGAGGAGTGCTGTCATTAAAACATAACATAGCCACTGCACTCATGAACTCACAGCAGCTATGGACACCTGTACAAGACCAAGCCAATAACATCAGTCAACATTCCAAAAGACAGTGCTAATTAGACTCAATGGATTAACAAAAAAAAAACCCAACAACTAAAAGGACATAAAGGGGAGAAGAGGAACTGGGGTGACTGAGGGGAGCTGGGGTTAGATCTAATAGAGATACATTATTTACATGTATGAAAATCTTAAAAGATTAAAAGATAGTCTATCAAAAATAAATTTAAAATAAAAAAAGAAATAGGGGCAAATATTCCTTGGTCAAGTATCCAATCTTATCACTAGAAATCCTTAATCAATCCAATGCTCCCCTTAGTGTATAAGTCTGTGACAGTTTTATGTTCAAGTTCACATTCTTTGTGGCGTGGATGAAGTTGGCTGAACAAGTTAATTGACCATCTGCATTTCTTATCTGTTTTTCTTCCTTTGCAAGTGGAATATAAAAATACTACTTCTATCTTTGAGTTAAAAACTCATTCATTTGGCTAGGAGTGGTGGCACATGCCTTCGATTCTAGCACTGGAAACAGAGGCAGGCAGATCTCTGAGTTGGAGGTCAGCCTTGTCTAAATAAGAAGTTCCAGGCCAGTCAGGATTATATGCTGAGACCCTGCCTCAATTATCATCATCGTCTTCATCTTGATAAATCTAAGATTGATGCTGAACACCTGCAATCCCAGCACTGGGGAGGAAGCTGAAGGAAGGAGATCAGAAGTTTGAGTTTATCTTGAGCTACCTAGAAAGTTTCAGGCCAGTCTCGAGTACCTGAGACCCCACCTCAAAAAGAAGTATCTTTAAAACCGTATATCATTATATATGCCCAACCCAGGCTGTAAGTGTCTTTCAAAACACTTCACAAAGTTATTAGTAGTTTATTATTTAGTCATCTTCATGTTTGTCTTCTTGTACCACTTCAAAGATAAGAATCTTTTCTTTTATTCACTACAGCAACCTCCATGCCCCAAGAAAGTGTAATACAGTGCCCTTCATAGACATCCTCAATGTCTATTTGTTAAACGAATGAACTACCTGTTTCTTCCTGATAGCTCTCCATCAGCTAGAATCACACACTCCTGGGTCTGAAACTGTCTCCGAGGAGTTGGTGAGACACAACTAACAAAGTGTAGAATCATATTATCACCAAAGCCATCAATCATTAATGAAGTAATCACACATCATCGGCTAAATAGTGCAGAGTCAATAATTAATTATCATTTTTGAAAAACAACTCAAGCAGCTCCATTAAAAATAACAAATTCCTGCCAGGCGGTGGTGGCGCACACCTTTAATCCCAGCACTTGGGAGGCAGAAGCAGGCGGATCTCTGTGAGTTTGAGGCTGGGCTGGACCGACAGCCTCCAAAACAACACAGAGAAACCTTGTCTCATAAAAACAAAACAAAAAAAAATGCTTAAAAACTCATCTTTACATATCACTATGTGATATTTTGTGGCTCTTACTGTATATACAAGTTTATTTATAAAGGGTTATCCATCTTGCTAATGGTCTATTATTTATTTCTCTTTTTTTAGCCTTTATATTTTTTATTAAAGTGCCAAGGGAGCCTATACACCTGTTTTGAAATATTTGAATCATTTAAAATAAATTAAACATTGAATATTTTATGGTTTCAGTTACAAACCAAGGTCCTTCTCTCCAAGAACCTATCTTGATTTACCACAATTCCAAATTAAAAAAATATTTGGAGAAAAGTTTTATTTACATTACAAAAAAGTTGAGTCAGAATAGAGAAGTCTGCTGAGTTTAGACCAGTTTTCCCTATTTTATTTCCTTAGATGTGCTTAATTTTGTGGTGTAACTAAAGATTTTGTTTATGTAATGCATGATTAAGATAATAAAGTATTTTCTATTCTTCAAAAAAAAGTAATTTAAGCTATGATTATGAACATCTGTATCCCAGCACATGGGAGGTGGAGGCAGGAAGATGAGTTCAAATTCATTGTGGGTTACCTAGTGAGTTTGAAGCCAGCCAAAGCTACACGAGAACTTTTCTTAAAACAACAATGAATGGCTACTGGAAAACAGTGCATGTTACCCACCTCCTAGGTGAATTCCATGGGCAGCAAAGTTCAGCATCTTCAGAAAGACCAGTAAAACCAAGTGAGGGCTGGGTACCACAAGTAATGTCAGATATGGAGTAACCAAGTTTATTAATGTGTCTCTGTATACATACAAAGCCTGTCTTCCCTTGGCTTATGGTAATGACTGCTTCCTTAACCCAATAGACAACAGATTTTCTTTTCTAATGTAACCACCATTTCATGGTTTGCACAAGACATACCTTTAGTACATCCAGATTTTCATAACCCATCAAACAGTTTTTCAGTATGTGCTATGGCAGGATATTCTAGAGCTGCCAAGAAAAGTAAATTCACAGAGCCGCCTGCAATTCAGTAACTATTGCAAATTAGCATAAATAGCCCTGTTTTAGAAGGAACGGCTTTTGCAAGTCATACAGGAAAAATAATGTGGCCCTGCATTTGCAGCATCAAAAATGCCCTGTGTACAGCTTCTCCATGAATATTAAACACAGCCCAATCATTCAGCACACTAATACACTCGGGTGAAACTCCAGTGAACCATTTGGTTAAGATCACAAGACTAACTAGGAAAACTAGCTAACAAGTACCTATTTTTACGGATTTTTTTTTTCATCTTAAAAGGAAAAAAATTGCATATCAAATAAAACCTCTCAACACTTGTCAGCTCTCCTGTGAACATACCATATAAATGGACGGGCACCGGCTGCCAGGAAAAACGAAAGGCCAAATTACACTTATACACCCATGCTGTCAAGTTCAGAGAGAAATCTGTCCTAGACCCAAGCCATCCACACGGCACACATACAATGAGTCTGTTAACAAGAGCTAAGAATGGATCAAATTCTTCAGATTTCTTTGCATAGATCTTACTTTCTGCATTGCCATCATACTTTAAAATGCCTCTGGCTAGTTGCTCAAGATACAAAACAAAGGTATTTTCAAATAGCAAATGTGCTTAAATACTAACCATTCCAACCCAAACTCCCAAAAGTGTTAAAAAGGACGGCTTACCTAGGCGCAAACATATCCACGGTGCTGTGGGTTGCCAGTGTGATATGCAGGAGTTTTGAACAATATCTAGAGCAAATGAAAAAGGAGAAACATATCAGAGCCAGTTTTGAACACTATTGTCTTGAGCATGAGACTTTTTATAACCATTTGAAGAGGACTTTCCTTTAAGGACAGTCGCTCCGAACATGTTTCTCCAGGTCCCAGCCCTGCCACTCTAACAGGTGGAGGAAGCTTGAGGAGTATTGATGAGCAACTTACTTAAAGAGAGAACAGGAGAATCTGGGCGCCAGGGGCAGGAAAAAAGCATGTGTAGGCAAGGCAAAGGGTGCCAAAGGGGTGAGGTAGAAGAAGAAAGTAGGAGAGGCCAGGGTGGCGGGTGCATGTCTTTGATTCCAGCATTTGGGAAGAGCCTGGTAGATCTCTGTGAGTTCCAGGTCAGACTACATAGCGAGTGCCAAACCAGTCAAGACTACACAGTGAGACCTTGTCTCAAAGAAGAGCAGGCGGGGAGGAAGAGGAGGAAGGGAGCATGAGGAGGAAGGGAGGAAGAGGGGAGGGAAGAGGAGGAGAAACTGTCTTGCCCTTGCCAGCTACCACCTGGGTCCTATTTCTCCGCAGGAGGCTGAACTTTCATTTCCACAGGTGTTTGCTGTTTCTCAATTCAAAATGTCGGACTCGTCTTTTTCACCCAGACACATAATCCCTTGGGTCTTCCCACCCTTGCTCACTATTGTAGTCAGCAGGTGATAAACCAGCCATGCTTAGAGCCTGGGAGTATCTGCATGAGCCCCTTTTCAATCTGATGGAACGTGCCTTCTGAACAACTTTGAAATGCTTCCGATTGCTTGTCCTTGGAGGCAATGCCTGAGATGGAACTCGGACATTGAGTACGCTAAGCAGGCCGGCTACCACTGTCCTACATTCCCAGTCACCTAATTCCAGATTTGAGAATGTCTCCAAATTCTCTCTCTCTCCTGTCAGATGTAGACTTTCTGATCCATTTTTTATACCAATATCCATCTCCCCTTCCCCTCACTGAGTATAGCATGACACGGTTAGAATCTCACATGCTCATCCCAGGTATTTCCTTCCCTTTCCTTCCCTTCCCTAATTAAAGTTTTTTTCATTCACTTTACATCTTGACTGCAGTTTCCCTCTCCTCTCCTCCTGTTCCTTCTCCTCCCTCTGGCCACCCCCCAAATCCACTCCTCCTCTATCCAGAAAGGGTCGGGCCTCCCTTGCTAGTCAACAAAGCATGGCACATCAAGTCAAGGCAGGAGCAAGCTCCTCTCCCTGCATCAAGGCTGGGTGATGCATACCAACATAGGGACTAGTTCCCAAAAGCCTGCTAAAGACCCAGGGACAGGACCTGATCCCACTGCTAGGAGCCCCCAAAACAGACCAAGCTACACAACTGTCGCACACGTGCAGAGAGCCTACGTTGGTCCCACGAAGGCTTCCTAGCTGTGAGCTCAGGTCAGCTGTCTCTGAGGGTTTCCCCATCATGGCCTACACGCACACACTTGTACAATCCTTCCTCCCTCCAATAGGACTCCCAAAGCTCAGCCCAGTGGGGATGGGGGTGGGAACATGAAGGATCAGGTTGGGTGGGTTGGGGGCTGGACGAAGGGGGAGAGTAATGGAAGAGATGTCTTGATGGGGACAGTGCATTTTGGGGTTAGGGAGAAACCTGGTGCCAGGGAAACTCTCAGGAATCCACAAGAATGACCCCAGCTAAGCCGCCTAGCACTAGTGGAGAGGGTGTCTGCACTGGCCTCCTCTAATCAGATTGGTGACTACCCTAATTGTCATCAGAGAGCCTTCATCAAGTATTTTGTTTTCTAAATTGAGGATGCATGGAAGAGTGCAGCGCAGGATGGGCCCATGGCTCCTCCTACTAGTCAAGGGCTCTAGTTTGGAGCTTCACCTCTAGCCGTTCTTAATCTGCAGCCTTGGCTTCCCCTGTTTCTCCCTGAGGTTCTTCAGTGCTTTACTTCGGGGATGCTGTGTGTCGGAGGCACTCTGCTGGATCTAAACTTGGGAGTGTCAGGTTTATATTCTTCTCCCTGCCAGGGATACATTTCTTTCCACCTCCCCATTCAATTCTACACCCTTATTTTTTTAATTTGTTTTGTTTTGTTGTACCTCAGTGTTGAGTCTCTTCTTTTCAGAAGTTTCTTGCCTCCAATGCTAAGGCATGGCTGTTATGTACCGTGCATGCCAGTGTCCCGGCACTTAGGCTCAAAGTGGCTGCTCCTTCTAATGACTGCAAGCTCTGTTGTAGACAATGGCTAAATGTAAGTATGGGGGATGCCACCTGACTGGTGCATGTCATGCAATTCATGCATAAGCAAGTGAAGGGTTCCAATAATTTAATTTATTATAGATTGTAAGAACCATCCATCTGGGCACAGTGGCACATGCCTTTAATCCTGGAACTTGGAGGCAAAGGAAGACAGCTCTCTGTAAAGTCAAGGCCAGTCTGGTCTACATAGTGAATCCAGGGTTCCATAGAGACACTGGGGTGGGGAGAAGAGGAAGACGAGGAAAAAGAATCATCATCATCATCATCTGAGGGCTAGGGATGTAGTTCAGTTGGTAGAGTGCTTGCCCAGAATACATGAAGCCCTGGATTTGGTCCTGAGTACCACATACAGCTGTGGCTCAGCACTTGGAAGGTAGAGATAGGTGGGTCAGAAGTTCAAGATCATCCTTGGTTACATAGCAAGTCTGAAGCCTGTCTGAACAACATGAAATCCTGTCTCAAAAAAGTAAACAGCAACAATAACCACACACACACACACACACACACACACACCATACCTATATACTTGTATAAAATGTCACTATGAAACCCAATACTTCATGCAATTAATATATGTCAATAAAAATCCATTGTTAAAAAGCATCATCTGAATCATTTGCAAAACAATGGAACCCTATCTCTGAGAGACATACAAAAAACTAGTATGAAGGTAGATGAATCTGAAGAAAAGGACTTACTATGTAACCCTCACACACTACCCCACATAGCCTCGAGCATGATAAATAGCATTTTACCATTCAGCTGTAGCCAGTGTGTGTGTGTGTGTGTGTGTGTGTGTGTGTGTGTATCTGTCTTCTATATTCTGTATGGATATATGAAGAACAGTAATACTGATCACTCCAGAAGGTAAACTGAAAATTGGAGAGATACTTTTTATAACAGAATATTTTAGACCTTGTAGAACTTCCAATCATGTTGAGTGTATATGGTCAAAAAACTTGAAAATGAAAACGTTTTAATTATGTCTGCTTTTCTAGGCTCGAAGTGACCCTGGAAATCTTCATCTTCATCAACCTCACTCTTAACCTTGGCAATCATGGAAGTTTGGAAAAATGTGCTAAGGTTGACCTTACAAATCTCATTTAGAAGTTGCCAAATCTGGGCATCATCCCTGATCTAACTGGAATACTCCAGAAAGGGACAGGAAGACCAATGTTTTCCATAATAGCTGAGGAGGTACTGACTTTCAGTTTGCTTGGAGGCCACTGATCAGTGGCCCAGCCAATGCACAAATCTTTTCTTAGCCGTGTATGCATGGAAACATCTTTACCTTAGAGGTAACCAACCTGCAAAAGGACTGCCAATAATTACACCTGCTGTTATCTGAATCCTATGTGGTTCCCTCTCACATTCCACAAGCAATAGGCTATTGTAGAAATCATGAGTTGGGCTACAGAGAGGGTTCAGTCACTAAATCCCTTGCTCTGTAAGCATATGGATCTGAATTTAGATCCACAGCATCCACATAACAAGTTATGTGGCATAACTTAATTATGGTGGCATAAGCCTGTAATTCCAGCACTGGGGGACAGAGGTGGGAGGAGGCAGAGACAGCCGATTCCTGGAGCTCAGTGGTTAGCCAGTCCAGCCAATCAGAGAGCTCCAAGTTCCCTCAGTGCAATGATGGCATGTGACCTCCAACTCTGGGCTATAAAAGATACCGTGCCTTCGGTTTTGCTCACTTTTGCCTTGTTCACTCTGGACAGGTTAGGGGCTGTTATATAAGGACCCTGGAAAAGACCAAATCATGTATAATAGCTAATAGTTAGGTGCTACCTAAGTGAATAAGCCATCTGTCCATCCATCCATCTATCTATCCATCTATCATCCATCCATCCATCATCCATCCATCCATCATCCAGCCAGCCAGCCAGCCATCTATTTTTAAGTGCATTGGAGCTTTGCCTGCATGTATGTCTGTGTGAGGGTATCAGATCCCCTGTAACTAGAGCCAAAGACAGCTGCAAGCTGCCATGTGGGTGCTGGGAACTGCATTTGGGTCCTCTGGTAGAGCAGTCAGTGCTCAGCTGCTGAGATATCTATACAGCACTTCATCTATTTATTTTTAGGCGGGTCTCTTGTATCCCAGACAGGCCTCAAACTGTGAATCTTAGGATGACCTTGAGCTTCTGATCTTCCTGCCTCTACCTCCTACATGTAGAGACTGCAGGCAGTCCTGGGGACCCAACCTGGGATTCTGTGTATCCTAAGCAAATACTCTACTAACTGAGCTGTATCCCAGGCCCTGAGTCCAGTCCTCGGAGGACAGCAGCCTTGGAGAATCCCTGACACAGAAAAGCGCATATTAAGCCACTCCGATTCCTGTCCCAATGAGATACTATGTAATGTAATAAATGCTTTTTGCTGAATTTATCCTTTTAAACTGTTAAGGTTTTTTGAGGGAGAGATGAGATAGAGCCTCTTTACACAGCTAGGCAAAAAAAGGGCTTTGTTATATAATCTTATTTACCTGTAACTATACTTTTTACCAGCAGTCCCACTCCCGTCTCGTGGATAAATTTTATAATTTTGTCTTCAAACCTGGAAGGAAGATCTGAACTACCCCTGTTTGCACCAGGTAAGCGTCAGCTCCGAGTACAGGTGGTGCTTACCCGTCTTGTTCCCTTTGCTTTTCTGAGGCTGGGAAGAGCAAATGGGGAAAATTCCGATGATCTTTTGAGTAGTGACGTGTATTAGTTGTCTACTGTGGAAGCAGGTCTTATGCACACACGTTCCATGTCCATCAGAACCTGTATCTACAACTCCCTAAACACAGAAGGCAAGCAGACTACGTGGAGAACCAAGATTGATTCTACGTGCTACTAAATTCTCCACACTGACCTGAAAACTTTGTCCTCTATTTTGATAGGAAATGTACACCTGAGTTTCATTTCACAAAATATACATTTACAGCATCACCAATATCATAAAAAGTACTTCCCATATAAAATTACCCTCCAAGTCCTTGGAAAGATGTCAGCCCACTCTCTGAACTTGAGGTCACCTGCAAAGCCAGAATGGCAGGGATCTCATTCAGTGCCATTAAAGAACGATTGGTCAAAGTCTACTTCTCTCATGCTCGCTCTTTCCCATTTTTGCCTGTATCTGGCTAGTACTTGTTAGTTTGGGTTTGAACTGACACATGGGTATCTAAAAGCCAAAATCTGAGACCCTCTGGTGTCATTCAGCATACAGAAAAAATCCAGAGTCTGTTTGTGAAACATCAAACAGAATTAGGAAAATATGGGATGCATATTGCTTAATGTTGCCT